TCTTTGCTTTTTCTTTTCTTTTTTTTTTTAAAGAGAGAGAGAGAGAGAATTTAATATTTATTTTTCAGTTCTCGGTGGATACAACATCTTTGTATGTGGTGCATCAATTTCTTTTTTCCCCTTTTTTATTTTTTTGTGTTTTATTGTTGTTGTATTTTTTATTGTTATTCTAAGTTCTTTTGTTTTTATTGTCTTCAACCCAAGAATTGTTTAGAAGTGCAATTTTTAGATTGTTAGGTGTGTAGATTGGGAGTTAAACACTATATTATGGTAACTGTGGCCCCTGTGATGTCAGCTTAATAAAGTATGTGTTTGTGTTTATGTAATTTTCCCCTTGTTGTCTGGAACAAAGGTTCACAAACAATAGTCTGTTGAGCAGATAAACCTGGGGCCTACTTTTCAGCTGCATTTGCAGAGCTGAGTGTTGAGATAGAGATTGTGTGGCTCACACAGCTTAAAGTAATCACTGTCTGGTCTTTAACTTAAACTTTTGCTTACCTCTGACTTAAAACAATTTTTATGGCTTTATTTGTTTATTTTTATGTGGTGTTGGGGAACGAACCCAGGGTCTCTCTCATGCGTGTAAGGCAAGTGCTCCACCACTGAGGTACAACCCCAGCCCATGGCTTTTTCATATAGGTTGAAAATATGTGTATTTTCTCTTGGAAACAAGTTCTTCATATCCATGTTAGAATAAGCTTAAATTGTGTTACACCCATCCTTGTAGCCCTCTTCATTAGTTTTGGTTTTGCTTATAGATATATAAACCTCCCATCACACCTAGATTTGTCCACTTTTTTCATATTTTACTCAGGATTAGCATTATATCTTTTGGAGGTATTTTATTAGTGCATAAAGCGTACATAATGGCCAGTTGTTTGGGAGCCTGAGACAGGACAATGGCAAGTTCCAGTCCAATTTCTGCAATTTAACAAGACCCTGTCTCTCTGTGTCTTTTTTTTTTAAAGAGCATATAAAAGTCATAACTATTATATCTTTCTGCTGGTTTTTCTTCTTACAATATGAAAATCCCTCTTTGTCCTATATATTTATTTATACCTTGGATTCTTTCTCTCTAAAGAATATTATTATTATCCCTGTAAGGACTAGGTTTAAAAAGAATGATTTTTTTCTTTTCTTTCTTTCTTTCTTTTTTTTTTTTTTTTTTTTTTTGAGTAGAAGTAGTTTGGAGATAGATATCTCTCTGTGATGTCATCAGAGACCCAGGCTCCTCTTTTCTGCTTCACCATCTTGGTATATGGTTTCCATCCTAAGGTCCCCTCATGGTCCACAAGACTTCTGGAGCTCCAGCCAGCACATCTCCATTGAGGGCCAGAAGGAAGAGGAAAGGTAGGAAGACAAAAAGGGACACATCCCAGCTCAGCTAATTTCCAATAAGTGACCTTGCCAGAAGTCCCAGAAAACAATTTCACTTTCATCTCATTGGCAGAATTTAGTCAAGTGGCCATACTTAAGCTACCAGAGAGGCTGTAAAATCTGGTCTTTTACTTCAGGTAGGTCTATCTTGAATAAAAATCGGCATTCTGTTACCAGGAGGAAGGCAAGAATGGACATTTGGGATAGGCACTACTCTCTGCCACTGCCTGTTCTTCTGATTAGCATTTGTTTGCCTGTTATAACTTTTTCTATTCCCTTAATTTCAACCTTCCTCAGTTGTTTTATTTCAGGTATGTCTCTTATAAAATATAGCAAGATCTTGAGTTATTTGGTTTTAAACAATCAGAACATCTATTAATAGGTGAGTGTAATGTATTCATTTTATTATTATTGTGTGATATATTTCTGCTATCATCTTTTTTTGCTGTGTGTTTACCATGTTTTCTTTTTCCTCTTTCCTGACACGTGTTAGATTGATTGGGGTTTTTTTCTTATCTGTTTTTTTTTTCCTGTTTTTCAATTGTCCTTACTGTTTTGATTCTTTTTGTTTTTACTCTTACTATTCTTTAACATTTCTGTTTTGAAATAATTTCAGACTTACAGAAAAGTTGTAATTATAGTACCAAAATACATTATTTTTCTTTTTATATGTGTAAATATTTTTTTAACAATTTGAGAGAAATTGCATACATGATGCCCCTTCAGTAGGTATTTCCTTATGTATTCACTAAAGAAAAAGGACATTCTTTTACATAACCAGAATGTCCTTTTTTCATACAATATTGTTATCTAATCCATAGTTTCAAATGGCTATACAAATGTCACCAGTTTTACTAGTAATGTGCCGTATTTAAAAAAAAAAAATAAAGTGATACATAAGCACATGATAATTATACTTATTAGTTGGCTTTGATAGCATATGCCTTTAGTCCCTGCTACTTGGGAGGCTGAGGCAGGAGGATTGCTTGAGTCTGGAATTTGAGACTAGTGTGGGCAACTTAGTGAGACCCTATTTCTCAAAAAAATAAATAAATAAGAAAGGATAGGGGTGTAATTTAGGGGTACAGTGCTTGACTAGAATGCATAAGGCCCTAGGTTCAATTCTGAACACTGCAAAAAAAATTACATATATATATATATATATATATATATA